GTACACGTAAAGTAAAGAACCGAACCGAGATTAGACTGAGAAAAAAAGATATATGTAATTTCCAATAAATATTTATTCAAAGAGCCATTTAATTTAACTAACGAAAGATATTAAAATTGGCAATTCTATTAAATCTGTATTGTACCGAGTCGAGGAAATGGTTCCTAAGAAACGGCCTAAAAAGGTGGCATCGCGTTAGACAACGTTTCCTTGCCAAACGAGGTGTGTCGCAAACTTTTCAACGCTGTCTCCGTGAACCTTCGCCTAGCCACTTCCGTTCGTTTGTACGTATACGCGGAAATCGTCACGATTCCGCGAAGAACAGGCGCGCGCGGTGTCGCGACGTATCAGTGGCGCGTGACTGCGTAAAGCTTCGCCGTTAACAGCCGAGCACCGTTTTCACTCCCCGGTTTTCGCTGGAAAAAGCGAAGCTGTAAAATCTGCAGCTTGTAAAATTGTGCAAGCGAGCCGATAGAAACGAAGAAGTTATACTTAAACCGCGGAACGAAACGATCCTTCGGTTTAGGAACACGATGCGTGCATTGCAACGAATCTATAGTTGTTCGAGTATTATTACTCTTTTTTCTCCTTTATTTAGAAATTGGAAACAAGAGTAGGAAAGGTTTTAGAAAGGTAAGTTGAACGAAAATTTAATTCGCACGCCTCGAACGACTTTTAAATTATAATGAAAAATTGCATCAAAATTTTCTTCATCAACTTTGTGCCCTTTATAAATCGGCGAATAATTTCGAATGATCTTTTTATCCATCGGATTTATCCTCGAAATTTCTAAAAAATTACATAACTTCTCTTTAATCGATCGCGAAATACATTCAAGAAAAATGCAAATTTCCTTCGTTTTGGTCGATTTCTCGAAATTTCAAATCGAGCGAGAAACGAGAAGCGACGGAGGAAAAAGTAATCGTCCGATTTAATCCATTCTTCTACCCGATTTTGAATATAAATCGATTGGGAAACCGGTTGCGAAACAATCGACGTTTCCTTTTCCTGGTTTGATCAACGCTGAAACCGCGACTTATCGATCCGATCGGCAGATAAATCCACCGAAAAATAAGTCGATGTTAATACACCTGTTAATCTCCTGTGTTCATAACACATTGCTATTAATATCGTTGCGCGATAAATCGGGGTGTTTGATTTGAAAATCGTCCAAAATCGGATTATTTATCGCGACCGCGGGCAATTTTCTCCGAATGAATTTCGGTTAATTTTCCACGTTCAACTCGTCCACGAGCATCCACGTTCGAGAAACGATCGTTTCCATAATTATTGAGATCCTCGATCGAATTCAAATTCAACGATTCAATTTATCTTCAAACGAAAGGATTATCAACACTTTCACATCTTATATTTCGATTCAAACGAAATCCAACGATACAAAGAAATTTATCATACTCGAGAAGAATACTTCCTTCTTCCGCTCAAGTATCGCGGCGTATTCGTTAACAAAAACACCGAGATCCAAGACGCGTAATAAACTTAAATTCGACTCGCGCGATGCCCGCGTAAGAAAATATAAGGGAAAATCCAGGGGACGGTAACTCGAGAAGCGGTTAAAGTAGTAAATAACGCATATGATATATAACACACACACACACACGTATATACATGAAAGAGCGGGCTATACGCGAGAGAACGATATTCCAGCTGTGGGGACGTATGACATTCGGGCCATCAAAACGGCACGAGGCCACCCGTTATGTAACGCGGGGTGGAGGGTGGAAAAAACATGGAAACCGCATATCGTCGCACCCGCTGGCAACCCCCACCGTGGCCGGAACAGGGGTGGTTCCTTCCTTCCGGCGTCGCAGTTTCGTCCCCAACTTCGTTGCGCTCCTAACACCGTCTTTAATTAAATCACTCCCGAATATCAGTCTACTACTTTTTACCACTACGTTTTCTCCTGCATCTCCGCTCATTTTTTCTTCGCGGAATCGACGAGTTAGATTCCAGCCGGATGTCCGACGAATTTTCTTCTTTGAACACAAGGGGGACTTTCCTTGAATACGGATTCTTTTGTGCTGATAATCGAGCTAAATAAATCAATTAAATATACTTTTCCAGAGCATTTACAGATGGATAATTCTATCGATCCACGCTCTCGACTCTTCCTAAACCTGATAAATAATAATAAATAAGCTGAAACTCAAATTATCAATTATCTGTTCCCATTCAGTTGGCTCGAAGAATTGACCACGATCGCGCGCACACCTCGATGCACGACAAATCGAATCGGATCGAAATCTCTCCAAGTGGGAAAGGAGGAGGAGGGGGGGGGGGAGGAGGGGCAAAAAGCAAAAGTGCGGTGCGGTTGTAACGGATACGGGCTGGATGGCGGTGGAACGGTGTCGGTACTCACCTCGACAGTATCTTGGATACACAGCCGTGAGATACCCTGAGTTGTCTGGAAATGTCGCACGGTCGGACGCCGCTGTGCGCCAGCTCGACGATCCTCTGCCTCACTACATCCGGTAGGGGCCTTCCGTTCACGAAGACGCCGCCGAGCTGGTTAACTCCGCCGTGGCCTGGAAAATGGAAATCGATAATGCATTAGCCGAGAGGGGGGCTAACCACGTCGAGGCAGGGACTCCTCTTCTCAGATCTTTCGATCACCTTCACCGATATCGCCCCCCCCCCCCAATTTTCCATCTCCCCTCGAGATAGATTTTCGGGATGGCAAGGTTAAGAAGGTTTGGAAAGGTTTGAATCATTGATCATCGAGGAAAATATTGTTTCGAAGCTACGTGTCATTTTTATATGTTTGTAGAAGATTTGTAAAATCGATCGATTTTTCTCGAAATAATCATCGGCGAGAAGGAATGAAGGTGGAAGATTCAACCGCCTCGCTTCACCTACTCGATATGTCAATTGGCAAGATTTCAGAAATAAATTTCTGTATATAATATTCCACGAGACGAAAATAAGAGTCTATTTTAAAACAAACTCATCCTCGACCTCGAGATCAATCTTACTCACTGCATTCTTTACTCGGATAAATGTAATAAAAAGGGGGAATAACGATATCGAGATATAATCCAATCATCCCCTCCTCCCCCCTTTTTTTTAATTCATCCCATTCACGAAAATTATATATATTTCTTCCTCCCTTGTTCCAACGCCCCTCCCTTTCGACGCATTTGCCAATAATGAAAGCAACGTGTTCCAGATCATTCGATTTTCCATCCCGCACGCCACTCAGCCCGCGACGACGACGACTTTATTTTCGCGCATTACGACCACCTAACGCGCCAACGCTTCCATCCAATATCGTAATGGAGGGTCCTGGACCGCGACATATGTCCCCGTGTACGTGCCAGTGCACCGATCATTCGATCATCATTCCTCCCTCCACGCGATTCATCCCTCGCTTTCGCTCCTTACTTTTACCCGGTTAATCGACTTCTTATTCCCCCCCCTCCTCTTTCCTTCGAAGAGAAGAAAGAGAGATTTTAACGCGCTCCAGTAACGCAGCCGGGTATAATAAGATCCGATACGAATCTTCTTGCCGTTGTCCGTTCAGCCGGGATTATTCTACTAGAAAATTAATTCTAGATTTGTCTCACGGTCGTTCAGCTTTCGCACACGCGCAAACTATTCCCTTCGGCAGGAAATTGTACGCGATTGTTTTGCGCAGTTGGCCGCAAAAAGTAATCCTTCCATATCGAACGTTTATATATATATATATATATATTAATAATAAATTAGTCAGCGTTTCGATAGATTTATTTGTATAGTCAAAAACAAAAATTGTACGTATCTATAAAATTTAACTTCGATTCATTTAACGAATCTTCCAACATCCACTTGTTTATTCCCAAATCTGCAAGGGGATGCAAAGTAAACACGGGAAGCGCGTACCTCGAATTCGAACAATTACATTGCACAATCGACATCATTGTTATCGGTTCCTCCACCACCGCCTTTTTTCTTCCCTCCCCCGCCGCTTTATCGCAATCTCCACGCGAGGAAGACAATGAAGGGATCCGCGATCATTACCAGAAACGATACGCGTTTTCCGGTCGCAAATCAATTCGCTCTCGCGTTTATGGTCGCATCCCCGTGGCGCGGCCGGTAGCCAGGGGGACGATGATAGTCGGCTGGATCATGGTGGCGGCAAAAGCACCATGACCACTCTGCGCGCACACACGCGCACCGTCACGCCTGGTGGCCGCAACTATACGAGGAACTACCCTGGAATCCATCCCTCCAACCCCGCTGAATCCAGGGATAACAGCGCTACTACGAATTGTCGTGTCCACCAACGCTTATTATTGCGCTCCAGCCTGAATCTCCGTCCGTGGCGGTTGTGGTGCCTCGTTTCGTTAGCGTTACCCTTGTCACGCCAACCCTTTTTCTCGAATCTTGGAACTTTTTTTTAGGAGCAGTTTCTATCATCGAGCCGGATTGAATATGAGTCGTCGAGGAAAAGAGCTTGATCGTTTCGAAAAGTATTCGTGTTCGGAAGAAAATCCAAATCGAGGAGATCATTTCGAGACTTTCCCACGAAATTCGAAACTCGGTTTCTTTCCTTCAATTTCACCGATCTCTTCGCAAGAACGAGGATGCAAAATGCGTTGCCTGTCCGACTGACGCGAACCACTTCCGCCCGTTTCTCATTTTCGCGATCCATCAAAAGCTTCCAAGGAACAAGCGTGAAGTGGACGTTGCATCTTCACGCTTCTATTCCGGCTGTATATTTGAATCGAATTCGCGATGTGGACGTGGAGCGCGACCATTGGCAATTAGACACCCTCGATGATTGGTTAATCACGTCGTTCGAGCGGAACGCGCGAGACGAATTAATTCGACGATGTCCGCTATGGTTTTCGCGGAGAAAGATAGTTGAATGGGAGCAAAAAAAAAAAAAACTTCGTTATTACAAGTATCGTGAATCTGGATTTAGTCTGGATAGATTGTTAAAATATTGCGAGATTAAATTGTTGAAATTAAATTATCATAATAATTAGATTAAAGGCTGATCGAAAATTCTTTTAGAATTCTCTTACTTTTTAAGGTTGAATCGTTACTTTTTTCATTCGTGTAACGTGTCGGTGTTGCGAGTCATGCTACGAACGTGCTGCGATTTATAATTTCATCATTCAACGTTGTTATCGAATTCATGTTATTCGAATTCGCATGGAAAAGACACCGATCCCTTTCGTACAACGAGCGACGTTTTATTTCCAAATCAACTTATTATCGATCAATTTCTCATTAACAGATTTTTCACGTGATACGTGAAAAAAAAAAAAAATGGAAAATATTCAAAGTACATTGTGACACTTGAAACGTAAGACGAGTCTCTATTTCACCTCTATTTCTTTAATTCTTTTTATAACTTATGCTTTGCATAAAAATAGTCTAGTTGTTACTTTGACGACGGAGGACCAATAAATAAGAAAGGATCGATTTCATCATCTCCGGTGTCTTTGAATCATACTTTAATAACCCGATATCACGGGTTTCATCCTCGCTGATACTCGAATATAATGCAAAGACGTACGAAGAAAGGAAATTAACGATGAACCCTTAACGATAACGGTAACCGAATTTTCACAACAATCGAACGTTTTTTCGCATCGATTATTCGACGCAAGATGGACGTCATATACGAAATACGACCTCTTTCGCTAAAATATTCGTTCTCGAGGGGAAAAAAAGAGCAAGTTGAAATCTACCGAGGTTGTTGTAATAAAAAAGGGGGGTGGAAAAATAAACCTAAAACTTTTGAACGGGTGTGTAGATTCCACGGCATCGGTCACACGATATTTCCCCACCAGCTTTGTTCCTGTATTGCATTACGATCCGGCGTTACGTATTGCCGGCGTATACACGCTGGAAACACGCCCTCTTATTTTTCTGAAATTTGCTACCCCCGACTGTCGTCCATCTAATTTAATAACAATCGTAAAAAGTTATCCCTTCCGTAGAGGGAATCAATTTTAAAAAAAGACAAAATACGCGAGAAAACTACCTATTCCTTTCCTTTCGTTCTACATCGTTCCACGAATTTTTGAGAGGAAACGAATTTTTAACTCCTCGTTTGGATGGACGTAAAAGTCCATATAACTAAAAGAAATTTCAATTTCCTTCTAAATTTATTAACATCGATTCTCCAAATCTTCGAGTTTAATAATAAGAAAAGAACACTTCTTCTCTCATGACGAAACAACACAACTTTTCACTTTCAGTAATCCGCGTAAAATTTATTGGACGAAAGTAACATAAAGTTGAACTCTGGTTGGTCGGCCAGCAGATATCGAGAATTTTTCCTCTGTTCGAAACGTGGAGCGAATTCCCCCGCAATTACACGGATAATTTTCCCCGTTCAATGAAAGGGATTGGTCGCGGAACGATTCAGCGCGCTGCGACGCGCGCCCGTTGACCGCGCCGTTCTTGTTAACGTTTCATAATTATTATCATCCCATTAATTCGAACGGAACCGCGTCCGAACCGCTTCGAAAACGACACCCCCCCTGTAATTAATACGTGTTTTCGATCAGCCTCGAAAACTCTCTCACTCTATCTCTCTCTCTATCATCCTTCTTTTTTTTTACAAAAGATCTTCCTCGATCTCTCCGCCAACTGTCCACTTTCCCCCCCCCCCTCCTCTTCACGCGCGATTACGCCGGTTCCAAAGTCGAGTTCGGATTCTCGCTTTCGATCCAACCCCCTTTTTTCTTCTACCACGACGGATTTGAATCTCTTCGAGGAATCTCCTCGAGATGATTGAAAAGAAATTTCATTTCGAAGAATTCATTCTCCTATTCTCTCTCTTCCCAAAGGATCTTTGCAACGATTGTTGTGGAAGATCGGAGATTCGTGGGCAATCGATCTTTCCTGTTCGACCGATCGATCCGAGAAGAGAAATCGATTTTTACGCTAACGAGTTCGCTCTCACGATCGATTCGAGGACTGTGCCTCTTCTTTTCTATTCTTCGTGTTCGCGGACAAAGTGGCAAAGCCTGTGAAAGAGAGTCTCCTCTAACCTGGTTCCAACCAACTCGTCGTTTTCGTTACCGATCATCTAAACTTCTTACAAGTGTCTACCTTTCACGGCTAATCAAGCTAATCAATTATCCTTAACACTACTTCTAACTTACATCAACGTATCTTATAACATATATATATATATAGAATTATATATAAAATTAAACTCGAATAAACGAAACGAAACGAAAGAGACAATTGCACGTGTCGTGAGCTTACAGGTGTAGTATTCCATCATGTTCTGATTGTAGCGATAGGCGGTGCTGAGGTCCATCTCGGCCCCTCAGTAGCCGACGGCCGTCGGCTGTGGGAATCCAGCTGGTTCCTCTTCTCGCTCGTGATGAATGCGTGAAACTTCGACCACCGACCAAGAAGAAGACGCGCTCTCTCTCTCTCTCTCTTTTCTCTTTTTCAGTCCTTTATGGAGCGGCGGTACAATGACCGTCATCAGGGGCGTCTTGTGCCTTGCGACGGGTGGCTTCGGCCGTCGCTTCATCTCGAATCGTCCCGATTATCCGCTGCGTCGATACCTCTT